TAACATAAGAATCCCCCCCTGTTTCCTGCCCCCCCCCACACACAACATAATAATCGCCGCTGTTCCCTGCCCCCCACAATGTAAAATAAAACAATGATGCCCCGTCACCTGCTTGTCTTTCTGCCGGGCGGAGGTGAGCAGGAACGATCCCTAGTGGTGATTAGTAAGGTGTGCTGCAGACCTTTGGCCGGAGCTCAGTGAAGAGCTGCGGCTGAAAGGAAGGGAGACGGCCCAGCAGAAGCAGCTGCTCCCACGAGTCAGGTACGCGGTCCGCGACCGCAAGCCTGACTGGGTTTCCACTCGCCCCCACTGCATTTCCACTCGCCAAATGCGAGCAGGTAAGTGGAAATTTTGAGCCCTGGCTTACGATATTAATTGTGAATGTGCAGAAAATGCCATTTATCATTTACTGCCATGGATGGCATATTATTAACGGTCACAATTACCATTAAGACAAAATTCTTTGTGAATAAATGCCTTTTTCCCCGATAATCCCGGTCTGTCCGCAGATGCGGATGTCGGCAAATTTGACAGGGTCGGCGTTCTCGACAGAACAGGAGCGGTGGACAAGGCCCGGGGGGCCCAGCTGCGAGCGGATCGGGGCTGACAGGTAAGAGGTGTCCAAGAAAGGTACCCTTACCGGCCCTGCAGAGTCTATGGTGGGCTCTGCAGGTTCACTCTCAGGTGGACTGTGTGGGACTGTGTGGGCTCTGCAGCACCTGGGCGTATTGCATATGCGCGTCTGTCGCGTGTTTCCGAAGACTACTTGGCTGTATCCCAATGGAAACGCGCAACAAAATGGCCCAAAGTAGTACATGTACCTTTTCAGGCGTAGGCCGCTTTGTAGCGCATCAGGGACGGGCGGAAATACGCCAAGGTGGGAACGAGACCATTGAATACAATGGTATTTATATTTTTGAGCGTTTTGTAGAGCGTTCGTCGAGCGTAGAACGCGCTACAAAACGTTCAGGTGTGAACGAGGGCTTAGCAGGAATGGGAAAAAGAAAAGATATGAGGAAAACAACGCTGGACTTCCTGGGCTGGTAAGTATGTTTTTTTAAATTTAACACTTCAACACTTCTTCCTTTTTCACCAACCTCTATATTAGGGACATTGAATTCAAATTTAATAAATACATAAAATGTTCATCAAGCTGAGGTCCGAAGCACAGTTAAACAGAACGGTCACTCAGTTCATGTCTGTACTGCGGTTCTCCATTTAGGCTGCATTCACACCAGCAACTGCACTGCAATGTACACCTGCTGGTGTGTATTCACAGGCACAGTGCTGATGTGTCGATCATGGCACATCATACTGGGTTTTTTTCCCCCTCGGTTTACTTACACATGCATTCCTTTTGCAAGTGTGTTCATTAGAATCAGCTGGCAGGGTTAGTTTAATTTTTTTTCATTTTATTATTTTTTACTTTTATTCACTTCACTTAACGACCCCCTTTGTGACAGCACATGGAGGGGACAGGTTCTCTGTATGGAGACATCAGAGGTCGATTAGACCTCTGATGTCTCCCCTGCCCACCAACACAGATGGTGCACAGGAATAAAGGAACATTTATGCTGGAAAAAAAATATTGATGGGTTTAACCAATCATTTTTAAAGCCTAGACACTTGGGGTTTTTTATATACTTTTGGATGCCTGAGTATTTTTTCACCTTTGCTCCTTCTGCACTGTTTGCTTTTATTAAAATTTTTCAAAACACTATACTTAGCTGACTGCACAGACACAGCACGTGCTTAAATATTGGTTTCTGAAAGGTGTTAAACCTTTTCCGCTAAAGCCCCATAGACACAGTCAAAAGGGGTGCTCTACCACCTTGCCTCATGCACAATGAGAATTTATCAAAACTGGAGCAGCTGTGCATGGCAACCAATCAGCATCTCTCTTTCATTTTCAAACCTTAACTGAACAAACTGAAGAGAGAAGCTGATTGGTTTCCATGGGCAACTGCTCCAGATTTTGTCTGCTCCAGTTTTGATAAATTCCCCCCAATATGTCTCTAAAGATTTTAAGGCTGAATGTCAAGGTGAACAGTAAGCACATGTTGAGCGGAGTGCTTGGTTTACTACCTGCTCAGTTTCTCAGTGTGCATTGCAGCATTTCATGGCTTTGCTACCGTAGAACTTGTTCATTTTAATCTGAACTCTAGGCACATGTAAAAGGCGCAAATAATGCAGCTCTGTAATCATCAATATATAACATTTAAATGCAATCAGTAGAAGTAACTTAATTTACCAGGTATCGGCCTCTTGTAGTTCCGGTGCAGCAGGGCTGGAGTGTGAGATAAAAAAGTAGTATGAGAAACCATTCAGTTCATGTGCTGACAAGAAGCATGCTGATAGGAGGAGAAAGCAGACTGGCGGAGTGATGAGCTCATCACTGTGCTGCTTTTGTTTTCACTGTCACAGGCTGGGACACCCACCTGGGCTTAGAGGAAATGGGTTGAATAAGGATGGCCATCCAACTAAGGACATCTAGTGACAGAAAACCTTACTGCTGGTAGGGGGGGTATTAACTAGTTTTGTTTTATCTTTTTCTGGGCTGTTTCTATTAATCATATTATATTTGGCTGGAGTTCTGCTTTAAATGGCACCCCAATGCCCCCCAGTGTAGAGAGCATTTGACAGTAGAACCCGCCTGGAAGCTACATAGTGATTTATAGCTTTTGGCTCAACTTCCATTAGAGAACAGAGGGCTGTATAAAAACTTTGCTTTGATATCAGCTGTACTGAGGTGCAGTGACTGTGAGTGGAGGTCTTTCAATAGATACATATTCAATATAATGAGGGGAATATATGAGCATTCACAACAAAAGTTTTGGTTGCAAAGACCAAAATGTCATGCCAACTAGCCAAAAAGTTGTATATCTTTTTACACTTTTTTTTTCCAAACGTTCTTGCAACGTATTAATGTTTGAGAACCCCAGTACTTTTTGCAGCATTTTGCATAATTTCTCAACTGCGCAGTAATTGCGTCCAGCTTTTG